GTAGGTGGCACAGACACACACACAGTGGAGAAACTGAAGGAGGGAAGGGAGACGCTCGTGTATGAAAGCGGAACTGCTATAGCAAATATTGATGGAACATACTAAGCTTGTCTGCATGCGTGAGTGTTTGTGAGTGCATTGCTGAGGGGAGGCAGATGCCGGACAGGTGCAGGAAAGTGGGTTGGAGGTAAAAGTAGTGGTCTGTCTGTGTGTGTGTGTGGTGGAAAAAAGCTGGGCCCAGAGGCACCGGGCAGCATCCTGGCTGCACGGAGCTGCAGCTGCATGTGGAGACGAGGTCACCAGCCACTGTGGTATCGGAGGACAGCGATGGTGGGAGTTTGGGGGTGACGGTCGGGGTTGGAGCGTGGGAGTGAAATGTGAGAGTGAGAAAGAAGGGGAGTCAGGTGCCAAGTGTCACCACAAACAGCGTCTCCAGTGACTCACAATTTCATGGCATGTATCATCGGTTTGTGTGTCACCGAGGCTGAGGCAATACCTACACAATGTATATCAGTTACATCATATATGCTGCAATTTAAAACAACATTGCTTTTCATTACAGAGCTATGATGCAAAAAGGGTGAAACTTAATACCAAAAACTGTTGTATTGTAATGTATTATTAAGATAAAAAATCACTCTAATAATTAGGGATCCTACATATTCAAAGAGCATAAACAGTGATTTTCATAGACTAGAAACATCTGGCAGCCAAACCGAACCATATATATCTTATATATCATGGTTTAGAGTAAAGGTTTTGGCAAAGACAAAAAATATTAACAGTTAAATCAAGATGGAAAAGCCACTTCCAGCGTGTTAATCCTCTCCAGTAAAACAAACCGAGGAAGAACAAGTGGCGATATCTTTGTGACTAACATCTTAAAGTAGCATCGGGCTCCTAATTCCAAAAGTTCCTCCTATTATAACAGTAAAACTCTTATAATAACATATCAGTTAATTGATTAAACTACTTACTTTCCGATTACACACATCTTAAGCACTGATCTTAAGGCGATACCCAACAACAAGTGAATATTACACCTGAATAATCTAATAAATATATACATAATATGGGTTGTTTGGGCTCAAATACATACAAAACATTTACACACAAGCTATATAGCCATGGGAACGTAATACCACCACCACCACCACCATGAGAGGGTGGACTAATACAGAAACATGTTACTACGTCAACACGGGTACAGGTGAGCCCCCTCTCTGAGTCTGTGCTCTTTGTTAGGTCTCCAAATGACAAACAGCATGCATGAAATAAGCTGAGGTCTGGGAGTTGCATGTGTTTGTTAGTGTGTACGGTGTTTGTGTGTCGGGGGTGAGGGAGAGAGATATCTCCCCCCCGACACAGGAAGCAGCTGAGTTTCACAGCAGAAGTGAGCTGCAGAGAGGGGAAGGGTTGAGCCAGACACCATGCTGCCCATCGTTAGAGACTTTAAACCGCTTTGTGTCGCATCCAGCGCCTCAATCTAGATATGATTAGTTCAATTAAAAGCAGGTCTCCTTTAGTGGCCTGGTGTCGCTTCACGTTCTGACAAATAACAGCAGGTCTCAGTTAGAGTTTGAGTTGGTTTTATAGATTTTGGATGTATAAAACCTCTTAAATCCCACCAGGTCTTCTAAGCTGCTTAGATCGACTACCCAAACATAAATGATTAAACCCTTAAGTTAATTTTACAGAAACCAAAAGCATCAAAGTAGCAAATGATCAAATGAATGAGTTATAATTCATAGTTCTCATTAAACTAATGGTCATTTGGGTTTAAATAAACAATCTGATTGTGTTTTTTATCTTTGCTGAGCAAGAGTTTTGTGCAAAATTACTATTAAACTAACTCAGGCTCATGACTTGGTAATGGTAAACAGGACATTCCCACCTCCCAATAAATGATGGCCGATACCTCGTATCAGAGGAATACTGGTATCAAAACAACTCTAACTATAAATCTTGTAATCTAGAAATGAAAGCCACTCTCGCTGTAAGTCAGCAACAGTATGAGATGAAAACACAGACTTCTTATAATAAAGTTTCCGCATCAAACAAGACATAAATGAAGTGAACAGGGCGGCAGATTTCTCATGAACGGTTCTTCATAACAAGATTACTTGTGATCTTATGTGTTAAGAGGTCAAAGCCTTGGTCATCCAGTCACCTCCGGCCCCTCCCCACAGTCCATTCACATGTTCCCATCCCTCGTGATGATAAACAAAATTACTAAAAGAGGAATGACACGGCAAAATTAAAAGTTTTCAGAATCCACAAAATCGCTTTAGGAGCAAATTGTTGTATAGTTACTAATATTCACTAAATCCTCAAAGACCACAGCAGTCACACAGTCAGGAGGAGGGACACTTCTGTGGGGATATTTGTTGTTCTAGTGTCCACGCCTTAGCACGATCAGCTGGTGTAAATAGTGTAAATGCTGCACAAAGGTGGCTTGACTGAATGAAAGGAGTAAAAAAAAACAAAAAATCTACAAAATACATTTTCTCTTTTCAGATTACAGAAACCTTTTTTTTTTTCTAAGGTAGAAACTGTGCAAAACAAAACATATTTCCTTTGTAAAAGTGAAACTGACGTCTTTGCTCCTTGATACCATCTCACTGTGATTTGAATGATCATATATTTATATTTGGGATTTAAATTACTTCCTTAACTTTAACACTAGAAAGCAGGTAGGAGAACAGAGGTTCAGTGGACTAAATAATGTCAGCCAACAGAGGCCAACTGCGCCACTGTTTACCTCCTCACTCTGAGGGTCAGTGTGCTGTGCTTGGGGCTAAATGTCAAAATATGTGTGCAAACCAGAGAACTCTGAGGGCAGCAACCATAGAGAGATCAACACCAAACACAAAAACTACAACCACATATGTGGAAATCAAACCTGCTCACACACCCTCCCTTCCCTCCATGGTTTTTACAATCCTGTAAAGCACCATACCCTACTTTTATCATCATCTCTGAGAGCTGGGGAACCCCCTCGGTCCACCCTCCCCCTGTTAATGAATCCTGCATTCCCAGCTCTCACGTGGCATCCAGCACTGTGCTGAATTGAGCAACTGTGACCAAGAATGGGGAAGTAGCTCAACTTGTTCATACATGAGAATCGCTGTCTGTCTGCAGCGGAGGACACCGCAGAATGAAAGCACATTGAGGAAATGGCATTACCATAGACTGCGCGCTGACAAGAGAGCGGATTTTTGACTTGATGTTAGGAAAATCTTCTCAAACTGCCTGAGAACTGGGTCAAGCAGCATCCGAAAACAATTCTTTTGAATTGTTTTGAACCTGTTTAACAGTAACAACAGCAGGAAAAGCTACAGCAGCAACAGTAACTGTAACCAACCACACTGATAACAGCAACCAGTGCATCTGTATGAGCGTTTCACCTAAATACAATCTCACTGTTTTACTTCGTAAGAGTCTGAATGATCTCTGATATTATCAGCTGATATTGTCTTCAGTGCAGAATGATGGCAGATTTGCAGACATATTAGGAAGCCAGGTTATTGAACTTGCATTAGTAAGACTGTGTTAATTCTTCTTTTATAAAGTTCTTTAAAGTAAACTTAGCATTTAGTGTAGCCTCACAGCACAGCATAACTGTAGAGTCTCACTGTCAAACAATATCAACAAAAGGCCAAAACCAACAAAGCGTTCATTCGTCTCTTAATATTTTCCACCCGTAAGCAGAGTGGCTCTAGGTGGGCAGGCGGCTGCCGGGGGCCGCTCGAGGTGGGAACTGTCAGAAAGTGTCCTGAGATAACTTTGCTGTTTTACAAATAAAATAAAAATTAAATTGAATTATTTAAGATCTTTAAAAACAGAACAAACAGGAGCAAACAGCATGTTTGTTGGGGTTCTATTTTCAGCGGCGGATTAACACACATTAGGCGCTCTATTGAGTATTTCAGGCAGCAGGTTACATTAAGCTTGTTAGTAGGATACATTCATTGTTGGTTTTGGTCTTTTCTTTGAATCTACTGACAATAACTGACTTTTAACTGTAATATCTCCTGCCTCCGTTTTTCTCTCAGTGCTAATATAAGCTAATAGAAGCTAGTAAGTGATGATCACATTTTTATTTATTCTCAGATACCAATATCAATACCAGCTGTAAAAAAAATCGGTATGAGTAAAGCTGAGTTGAAACCACTGCTGTCATCAGTGTGATGTGTACTCCCCCATGAAACAGATGAAAACAGAAACAGACAACATGAAATATGGAAATTCGGTGCAGGAGGACTCACCGTTGAAGGGGTTGATCCCTCTGGTGATCCTCTGTACGATTGCATCTTTCACTTCCCTCCTTCTCACACACTGGATACCCAGATTCTGGAAACTGTGTGAATAATGATGCAGCAGGTTAAACAGGTTGAACAGGCGGTGGAGGCTGATTACGAGAAACAAAGCAGTCAAAGTGAAGTATGATCTAAATAAACTACAACATAATCTGTTGGACTGAGAGTCTAAATGAATCTGAATGAATGAACTACAGACGTCCAGGAGGGATTTGCAAATTATACACACCAAAGAATACTGACTCATTGACACACACACACACACACACACACACACACTCTCTCTCAAACACACAGCAAATACGGGTGATGTCACTCGGGGAATTCCCATATTGCCATCCTCATCACAGACAGGGTTTGACAGTATTTCTCTGTGTGAGTCTGTGCGAGTGTCTTCCTCTGTATCTGAGAGGTCACCAATCTACACTCCTTCCGAAACCGCCAAGTGAAACATGAAATACAGTTAATAGAGAGTAAATTGATTACGTTGTGGTGTGTGTGCATCAGAGTGTTTACGTATTTGGATGACTGATTGAGACTGAGACTGAGTGATAGTGAGTGGTAATTGCTCTGGTGGCCCACAGTGAAATCAGTGAACACTACTTGCAGGCTGCCTTTTGGACAGAGGTGCTTTTTGGGAGGGGGAACTCACGCGATCACTCTGCGGTCTGGACCAAACTCAGCCTCGTAGAATCCGTCTTTGCAGTCTTTCCCCACCAGGTCGTGCGGATGTGGTCGGTAAGGCTCGTTCTTGGTCACCAAGTAGACGCGCACTTTCCCTTTACCGCAGTAATTCAGGATCTGCAGAGGCAGAGGAGGTCATTAACAGGAACCTATGCTGCATGCAGGGGTGAAATGCCAACACAGACACATGTGCTCCAGCTGACCGACCTGCAGACTCGGGTAGGTCCTGTTGTTGTCCGAGCTCTTCTCCCCGGGGATGCTTCCGGCTGAGCGACCCTCACACTTGTACCTGAAGCGCATCCCCCTCTGCTTGGGCTGCTCGAAGATCTGGATCTCCGGCTCAGCCACTGGAGACAGACGATGGGAAAGGGTGAATGGAGGGATGCAGAGAGGAAGCTAAGATTCAGACACTGTGGTGGTTTTAAAATGATTTGATGCAGATTACGCAACCATGAAGAGTGACAAAAGTTGCACAATCAATAAGCGCATAATGAAATATTGCATAATGAAAACCATTATGAAAGAGGTTTTTCCTTGTTTTTTATTCACTAAAAGCTATAAACATTTGTTAACTATCAGACCCTGGCCATTCAAGTTAAAGCAAACACCATGGATGACATGCATTTAGCATTTAGTATGACGTCATTATACAGACTCCCTCAGTTAATGCAGTCATGTTTCTGACATTTAATAACCCAGGAAGTGTTGAATTTGCAGGTCAACAGATGTTTAGGTTAAAACTGGGACAAATAGGCCAAAGTTGACATTTAGTTTCTGTGTGTATTGTGGAGATTACTGTGCACCCTTCCACCGCAGACAGACATGAGAGAGAATCAGTGTGAAATGGGATTGAAGCTGTCAGGAAACCATTTTGCTTTATTTCTGCTTTTTGTTGTTGGTGCCTGAACCTCTGTGTGACGAGCTGTATCTGAGTCATCCTGCTTTTGTTCTGCATCCAATGTTGACTGATAAATCTAAAATCAACACTGTGTGCTTCAATAAACCAACAAGCACTGGTTTAATGATTTGCACTCAGTCTGCTCGTCTTAAATGAGGCCAAATCTGATTGAAAAGTGAAAGATTTTCTCATTGAGACAAATATATTCTACGTAACCTGGATGTCTAAAATCCTTCAGCATCAACTGAAGTCAGGTGAGGTGCACGGGCGTCTTTTAAACTGCCAATCATTGCAGCCATCCTGCTTCTCTGTGCTACTTTGGCCCTTCTGTATAAAACAAGGCCCCACATGATGCCCGAGAGAGAGAGGAACTAAAACTGATCCAGGAAGTGTGTCTGTTTTTGGTGTACAGTGTTTCCATTGATTTAACAACACACACACACACAAAACGCCTTTTTTGGACCCACAGCCGAGCTACGAGCTCAGTCCAAAGTGCGGCGTTCACACACAGATGATATCGGAATGAAACAAGTCCTGTTACATTTCTGACATAATTAAGAAATGTAAGTTTGCCAGAAATCTTTTAAAAAAGTGTCCCGGCCTTGTTCTGCCTTCCTCATTTTGCAGCTACTTTAGAGGACGCGGCAAACACAGAAGCTCTCACACACATTTATAACACAATATATAAACTCAGACACCACAAACTATAAAGATGTTGATTACAAGAAGCTAGTTCACACACTCACACCACAGCTCTGAAAAAAGGGCAATGCTTACCAATAAAACAAAATGAGGAAGTGAAAGACACTGCAATACACTCACACACTGCTGGGTACTTTTAAGGCTTGTGGAGACAGGCAGATCATTTTTGACACAAGAGGAATTAAAATGTACTTACTTAGGTGTGGATCCCCTAGCATGGAGGGCACAAGAACTGTAATGTGAGAAAACATACACACAAATTAAAGACAAAATGAGCCTGAATTCACTGGTTTGTTGTTTTTTGAGCTCAGTTAGTTCTGCTAAAGCTGTCCTGTAATTACTGACACTGCCTCCAAAAATCATTGCAACAAAGAGGAAGTTTCACTGTGTCGTTAAACAGGCGTATAATCAATACTGCCAACTCGTATTTAACTCCAGAATCCAGCAGTGCTGCTGTTGAACATTCAGGCTTCAAGATATTCATAAAAATATGAAAAGTTACAGTTGAGGCAGTAAATGTTTGTGAGCATTATCATTACATCCTGTCTATAACCTCTCATTCTACACTCTACTTGTATTATTATACAGTAAATAAAGGTACTCACCATCCATGATGCACACACACACACACACACTCTCTCTCTCAGCAGTATCACAGGTTATTGTCTCCTGGAGAACCCCGAGCTGAATAAGTGACAGTGCACAGGAAAAGTAATATTTGTTGAAGAGAGGAGCAGCGGGGGAAATCCCCTGCATCACCGCCCACTTCATCCGAACTGACCAATGAGAGGCCGCACCACTCACAGCCACTCCCCCCTTAAAGCACTGCCAAAAGAGTGAGTGAGTTTGTGTGTGTGAGTGTGAGTGTGTGTGTAGCCTGGGAGATAAAAGACTTATGACAGTGCACATGACAGCAGCCGTGAGTGCAGCCAGGCCACGGGAGAGAATACAGAGTCACCACACTCACCCTGCAGCACCATGCACACCTGGGTGTCCGGGCAATATGACCCATAAGCCTCCCATATGACCGATAACCATCCAGTGGCGGACTCTGCCTGTGGATGGGTCTGTTTGAGGGGCTTCACTCATTCACTCACTCATTTCATGGGGTGTAAGAGAAGGTAAATATCCACAGTAGGCCTGTAGCTCAGCATTTCATTATTTCTCTCAAGAATATGAACTGAAATAGTTTAATAGTTTAAAGTTTAGATTATTATTTAAGATCTTTAAAGAGCTGAACACAAACTATATTCACTGAGCTTCACTGTCTGATAACCGGCTTCGTTCTGCATCAGAAAACAACCAAACAACACTGAATCTGTCAGAAAGAAGCCTATTAAGTCTGTATGATTATTAAATACAGAGAGCTCCTAAAAGTATTTGGGTTCATGGTTTATCAGTTGTTCTGCACTGTTATTGATATTCAGTGGATAGAATATGAAATATCCATAAAATATGTCACTCAATGATAGAAAGGGTTTATAATAAACTAAAACTAAAGTAAAACATTTTAGTTAAATGAAATAAACTTTATTATGTACTTACACTAAAATCAATATGCAGGAAATCAACACAGGCCTGAGGAGGCGTCGGTGCAGGTTCATTCAGACTGGGATGTTTCGTCCACTTCTTTCACATTTTTAAACAATAAAAACTAAACTGAAACGAGGGAAAACCAAATGAAAAACTATCCCTCTGGAGGACTCAGGGATTCTCGTTTTCTGGTTTAATACCAACATACTTTGGGCGAGTAACTAACTGTACAAGTTAGAACTTATTAGGAAAAATCACACTTTCATCAAAAATTAGGAAAAATGTTCATTAAAAGTTTAAGTTTTTAATTAAGTTTAATTTATTGTTTTCAATATGAAATATTTGTTTTACACTCCATACGTCATATATTATATATATATATATCAACTTATTATGAGTTCATAGATAGCAAATATTTGTTTGTGCTCCTTACAGCCAGTTTCTCATCACACTATATTTTAATAAGCAATAAACATGTCTGGATGTTTATTATTTTCAGTACACGTGACAGCCTCCTATCTATATATTCATAGAAAAGTTGCTATTATTAGTGAGCAGGTGATAACGCTCACTGGGTAGGAAGTGTCTGTTTGCGTCTTTTAAACCTCAGATTGCTCATTTTGATATAATTTCTAACTCTGATACATATTAGTACCTCAGTGAGCACAGACATTTCCACTGAAGGAAAGTTTAAATTCCAGTTGCACAGAATTATTAAAGGTTCAATAAACAAACAAAAACATTTCCAGTGTTAATTCTCAGTGTGGCAACATGTCTTCATATAGAGGATAAACGGTGTGATGGTGATAGAAAGACTAACACCATTTATTGTGTTTCTGTACAGTTTGAATAAAGTGTGTTGTGAGTTTAAATGAGTGTTTTACCCCTGAAGGAGTCTGGTGGACCCTTTGTTTTGGTCTGAGATGTTGGTGCTCTATTGCGCCATCTAGTGGTTAATTGTCAACCTCAGAAACCTTTATGTACTTTTACTCTTTAAAGGTCATTAGTCCATTATGACGAGTGAGATGTACTTGATGTACATCTAGGGACATTTGAGGTAAACAAACAAGGTGTGTGGGGCCAACAAATGTGAAAATAAATGCAACAAAGACACAGACACAGGCGTAGTTTTTAGGGGTTTAATGGGTGTACAGATTCATTTAAAGGAAGTGATAAACACATACAAAAATACCCTTTCAATACATTTTAGAAACAAACATCTAAATGACCTGTTTTGTTAAATGTTTCCAAACAGCAAAACATGAGTTGTCTGAAACAGAGCGGCGCAGATTCCATTCAAAAGAGAATTACCTGCTATGAATGCTATTAAAAAAAAGATCACATGGTACAAATATGCAAATATAAATAAAGTGATAAGAAAACCCCCGATAATGAAGAATATGCCTTTTGAAAAAACTGTTCTCTGTACATTTAAGTTGGGGAACCGACGCTGGGGAACCGACGCTGGGGAACACCCTGCGTCCCAACTCTCCAGAGAAGAGGGCGCCGCGTCAGCATCACTTTATACTTTCGTTGTGTACATATTATCTTCGGTGCTGCTGAACTCAAACCAGCTTCAGACCATAAAGATGGAGGGTTGGGGCCCAAGGCGGGAAAAAATTAACAAAAAAGGTTGTCTCCTGACCCCCCCGCTCGCCCGCCGGCGCCACCAGCGGCCTCAGGAGATGCTTTATTTAAGAACCTCCACAGGAGGCGCAGAGGGTTAACACCCAAACGAAGGGAAGTCTGTCTCTCTCCGACACACAAAACCATCCAACACACACACACACACA